TTAGGGAAATAAAATATAATTTCCTAACTTAAAAAAAAAATAGAAGTGTATTGTATTTTACCTACTAGCTGATTACAAATTTTTGTATATTTTGTACCACTTTCATCTACATAATGTATGTGTTCTTTTATCCCTGCTCTGTAATTGGGATTGCCTATAGTGTAGAGCATTGTTATAAAAAAAGGCTATTTTCTTGTTAAAATAAACAACATTATTAATTGTTTCGACGTAAATAAGATTGAAAATTCCGATGCTATATGCCTAGTAAAATACGCATTGTCCCTTGAGAGCAGAACTATACTATATCCATATTTTGCGTTTTTAAAGCCGAGTATACATTAAATATTACCAAATTTAGTGCAGAAGTAGTCTAAGACCATACTGGAGGGGATACTAATAAAATATCAGAATACAAATATTCCCTCGGACATAGACTAGTTCTGATGTCGTTTCGGAGTAAGTACATAATAATAATAATAATTGACAGAATAGTTTTGATTTGGTTTAATCAGAGTTAGTATAGAGCGTTATAGTGAACATTGACTAGCATAAATTTATGTAGGTAAATATAATACATCCACCATTTTTTTTTGCAAAACACGGGGCGTGTCTTTACAAATAGAACTCTCGATAATCAGGCATCTTAAAATGCTACTTAAATTTTATTAACTAAAAATTCAATGTGCAATTTCTCAAAAACAAAAAAACATCCCCCGTAAAATTTGCATTTTGTGACTTAGTATAGCTCTGCTTTCAAGGGACGACATACAGGTAAAGCACCTGATAACCACCAGCGTTGTTGTTCCTGTAAAATTATCAAAATGGCGCTTATCATGTTTTCCCCCTGGACTCTACATATTTAAAATAACATTTAATGAAATAATATGCAATTAAAAGCGTTCTATCGATGCAAAATAAATGGTGGTTACATCGTCCCCTCTACTTTAGAATATCAGTTTTGAGACTTAAAATTCAATGTAAAATGTAAAGTTTTCGGTGCGCCTGAAGCGGCCGAAGCACTTTCCGGACTATTATGAATTTATCCGAATTCACTGTTAAGTTGATATAAAAAATATAGGGGAAAGTGTTTCACAATGAGACATGTTTCACAGTGAGACAAGCGACTTTTTTTTAAAACTTACCGCCATAAATTCATATTTAGTATCCTTAAATACCACGTGCGGCGTGCCATTTTCAGATATTGAAGCAGGTCGTACGGCGTTTAGGTGTCATAATCTTTCCTCCATGGGTGTCAGTTGGTAATGAGGCACTCACAAAAAAGGTTCGTATTTTTTTTTAGGTTGGATATCTTTGAAATTTGCTTAGAAAAATAAACTGATAGATTTATACAATTTTCATAATTTGCTATACTTAGCTAATTCAAGATTAGGTTATATTGCTTTATTTAGGGGTGTAGAATGCATGGTTTACTGTAGGCGAATTTTTAAAATATATGTGTGATATTTCCACAATGAGACAATATTTTTGGTCCACAATGAGACAGCTGTCTCATTGTAGAACATTATACATACGTTAACCGCTTTGCTTAAAAACTTATTATGAAATAATTTTTAGCCTACCAAAATGGCAAGGGACAGACAACGGAAAATCACGAAAGGCAATTTTACCAAAGATCAAATGGAGGCCGCCGTCCGAATGGTGATTGAAGAACAAAAGAGTCTGAGAACAGGTGCCGAAAGGACTGGGGTGAAGTTTCAAACTTTACAACGATACGTAACAAAACAAAAGAGTCGGTATTGGTTTAAGTATTAGACTTACACCTAATTAAGCCTGCCGACAAATTTTCACTTTGGAGCAAGTGGCTATTGTAGAAGAATATGCTGTTACTTGCGTCAAGATGTGCTACGTCAAATCGAGGAAGGACATTGTTTAGCTTATGAAGTAGCAATTGCGAATCAAATTAATATTCTTGAGAATTGGCGTACCAACAGAAAAGCTGGTTTGGAATGGCTTTTGGTTTTTATGTCGCGTAACCCAAATTTGTCTATCACAACCAGAAGGATGCAGCCTCTCGCGGGGAATATCTTTCAATACACATAACGTCGATCAGTTTTGTAACAAATTGGAGATTATAAATAGTACACCAGAATTTGCGGATGGGACACGCATTTTTAACCTGGATGAAACAACAACAACGCATAAATTTAATCTCATATTGGTAAGCTGATAATATTATAGACCATCTTTGTAAACGACTGGCCGCAATACACCTTTTTTTCTCCGAAAATAGCAATCAAAGTATAAAGAAACTCAACGTGATGAAGTTCTTTTTAAATTTTGTTATACCGGTTGGCCCAATAATAAGAATTACTTATCGCCGGAAATGCAAAATTATTTTACTAAACAAAATGAATTACATTTAGAACATGGTTGTGTTTTATGGGGTGTACGTGTGGTTATCCCAAAAATTTTTCAAAAAAATATTTTAATGGAAATTCATTCTAGCCATCTAGGTGTAAATAAAAGTAAATCAATTGCTAGATCATATTGCTATTGGTACAATATTGATTCCGACATTGAAAACTTATGCAAAAATTGTGAAATTTGTATATGTTTTCAATCAAACCCAACCAAAAACTGTTTTGCAGCCTTGGCCTATGTCAAATAAACCTTGGTCACGGTTACATGTCGATTTTTTAGGACCAATTTATAATAATAAATATTTTATTGTTATTGATTCCTATTCAAAATGGCTGGAGGTTTTTAAAATGCAAAATACAAAAACCCAGCAGAATTTTCGCCAAAAAGGGAATAAAGCAAGTCAGCTCTGCTACTAGCGGCGAACGCGGAATATTAGTTACAACCTGTTGTACAATAAGCGAAACTGGAAACTTCATTCCTCCTGCAGTGGTTTTCACAAGAAATTTTTTTAAAGAACATATTCTAATTGGAGCACCCTCTAAAACACTGGGTCTTGCTCACTCTACTGGTTGGATGGCTACAGAATTATTTGTCAACGTCATAAAACATTTTATACATCATACGGCTAGCAGTTTGGAAAACCCATCCCTATTAATTATGGACAGCCATGACTCATTTATCGGCAGAATTTTTGCAAAAAAACGCAGAGTAACTATTTTAATTCTACCACCTCATTGCTCCAACAAGTTACAGCCGTTGGATTTGTCAGTCTTTTTTCAATTCAAATTAAATGCAGCAATAGAATCATGGTTACTCAGGAACCCTGGACGTCCAATAATAATATATGACATTGCTTCGTGCGTTGGAGTAGCTTTTAAAAAGTCGATGACACCTAGAAATCTAACATCAGGCTTTAAAAAGTCAGGAATTTATCCTTTTGATAAGCAGGTATTCACGAATGAAGATTTTATTGTCAGCAGTGTAACCGACAGAGCTTTGCCTGAGGATCAGATGGTTATACACATGGTTCTAATGACGCTGAAAAGAACACACAGAATATTCCAAGTACAAGTAAATCTACCGATAAGACTTTACAACCTTGAGACTGATGATGAAGATGACAAGATATATCAAAATGAGAATGATATTTGTCTCCCCACAAATTTTATTGGGATATCCCAAGGCGAAAGATTTAAAGCAAAAAGGCAAATATAGAAAGAGGAAGAGTATTATTGCTACAGACACCCCAGAAATCCATTTCATAAAAGATCATAGAAAAAAATAAAAAAAAGGAAGCGCAGGAAATGAGGAAGCGTGAAAAGATAATTGAAGCTAAAATCAGACTTTTTGAATCATCAAGTGATGATAATGACGATGATTATCAAGATAACGGTAGAACTTCCGACGACCTGAGCGATGAAGAACCCACAAAGAACCTCTTTGAGTTCACCGAATTAGAAAGATTTTGTCTTGGTTCAATTTACTGAATCGTTAAAAACAACTAAGATTTACTACATTGGGAAAATTTTAAGGGAGGAGGAGAACGAGTTTGTGATTACTTTTCTACGAAAAAGTAACAAATCCCTAAATGCCTTCACGTTTTCGTTGGAAGATGACGTAAGTTCGACACCGAAGAAGGACGCAAAATTGATTCTGTCGAAATATTTAGTGGTGGGTGAAACTAAATGAAAGTAAAATATCATTCGCTTTAAGATAAATATGAGTTCCTTAAACATTCGTGAACACATAAGTTTTATTTTTATAGTGTTTGTTTAGTTAATTATGTCAAATAAAGTTAATTTTTGGACCTTACGTGTATTTTTATTAATGTTCCACAACTAGACATTCTTATTTTTTTTTTTTAATTAAGTTGACTTTCGTTATAACTATAATGTGGGCAGGCTTCTTATTCACCGAAGACTACTTTTTTCTTTATTATTCTATCGTAGCACTAAATACATGCATGTCTCATCGTGGAACACGTTTGTTCCTAAATGAGACAAATGTAAGGTTTTTTAATAAAAATCATACTTTATTAGTCTGTGAAAAAATCTTTTTTACTGATGAATAAGGTAGAGCATATATGTTGAAGTAAGCGTTTTAACCAATTACAGTTTTAAAATTGATTTTAAAATAAATTAAAAAAAGGAATATAATTTTTATCTCATTGTGGAACACTTTCCCCTACACAATAGATGCAATAACAGATATTTTCTCCGGTTTTTTTTAGTAAAAACCGAAAATAAATTTATAAATTCGTAAAAAATTCGAATTTACTATCAGGTCCATAGAATGCTCTTAAAACAAGGCAGTACTTATGTTACTGAAAATCTAAAGACTGTAATAAATCTGTTCATTTTATTTTTATTTTATTACATTACAGCATCCGTAAATTATTGTAATAATAGCAATTGAATCGTTTATTTCAGAAACAACCTAAGTTACTTTTTGTTCATATTGGGTTTATTACAATAACATTGTAGTTTCAGAGTGACACACGTTTAATGCAGAAAAAAACCTAATTCCGTAAACATCTTTAATTATATGACAATTTAAAATTTTCTTTTATTTCTGAAACAACCTTAGTCCTAGTTCTAGTTCAAAACTTTTTTCACCTCCTGAAATTTCTTTAAAAGTTAGGTTGTTTCTAAAATAAACGATTCAATTTTTTAGTCTAAGACAAGAACATTTGGACCCCTGCAATATTTCGAATCTCCATCTGGTGTTACCTGTGTCCTTTTGACGCCGCATCGAAAGGTTGTGAAGTAAACCACATTAAATAATCTGGCGCTCGTTTGTATTCCAAGTACCAAAGGAGTCTTGAGTAAAATTTTCTCGAAGGCGAGAAAACCTCTGAATGCAATAGATATATGAACGGTATAAATAAAATTCCATATAATCACAAGTTTTATATTTATCAATATAATGGTATAAAAAGAAAAACTTACAAATGGCATGATATTTTTTTTAAATTAAATGTATCTTTTAAATACTAGCTGGTTTTCATTCAGTCGAAAATATAATAAACGAACAATATCATTCAATTTATTTTGGATAAATTAATTATAAATGTATTCAATTGTAATTGATAAAATTGTTATACTAAATAATCATTGAACAGAAAATACAGATTGTCACAACACTAACAAAAATTTATAATTCAAATCAATATAGAATATATTGAGGAATATCAAACCCCTGGCAGATTATAATAGCTTAGTAGGAAAACCTTTCTATAAAACATGCGTTACATTACTTGCTGACATTTATAATTTATAGAAAAATTTGAATTATTTTGGACAATATTTGTCTTCGTTGTACTATTTAAAAAATCCTAATAAATATAAAAGAAATGAAAATAAATACTCAAAATCTGTACCACAGTATTTATTTTCATTTATGCTGATGGCTATTTGAGCAGTTGAATACTCTGTTGGTGAGTAAAGAATTTAAAAAAGAATGACACAAACTACATACATTTTTTTTTCTTTCATTTTTTGAACTCTTAGGATTTGGAGAGTCCATAATAATATTACTTATAGTATTGCACTTTTATATACATATATACAGGACTAGAAAAAAATTCAAATAATTATTTTTATCGATAAAATGATATTCCTTTATTAATTTTGATGGTATTAAACCCCTTTCTTAGTCTAATTTTCTTAAATTTGATGTTTTCTCGTTCTCAAGGCATTTTCTTTGCATCTGCATCTATTTTCTTTTGTCTGAGGTATTTGCAGTCATCTATAGCAAAACTAAAATATATTTCAAAATTAGTACATTTAAATTTACAGAGATGCATCTATTACTTAATCATTTTACTAAACATACCAAACATTTAGTAGATGATAGATCTATTCCAACAACGATCAGAAACCAATCACTGACACCAGAATTCTGCATAGTAGATTATTTGGACCGCTAAAATATCTTGTGCGCATAATTCTGGAGTGAGTGACTGGTTTCTGATTGTTGTTGGAACAGACTTTGTGTTCACAAAAAATAGAAATTAAAGAATTAGATTTTTATTAGTAAGTAAGTAAATTATTTATTTAGCTTTCAGCTAGTTATAAACAAATATTTACAATTTAAACTTAAAACTATAGGTTACCTAAACCTAGATAATTACTAATCATATTTTTAAAACTACCTAGAGTTGGGGCATCTTTTATATTTTTAGGCAACGCATTAAAAAGACGAATCCCTTCCTGCAATAATGAGCCCATCAAAAAAGATTTTTTTGTGAAATAAATATTAAAATTGTCCATTGATCTGAGTGGACGTAAATGAAGTTCAGATCTTTTTACAAGTAGTGTACTAAAGTATTTCGGAGTTTTGTGATGTATCATCTTATATATTAGTATTAAATTCGACATTTTAATGCTTTGCTCAACTGTATAGACATTCAGCTGTTCATGCATTTCCCTGACCGAAGTGTAAATATTACAATTTAATATTATCCTTAAACATTTATTTTGTAACAGTTGCAATCTGTTGATGTTTTCTTTAGTAGCTGATAATAGTAATTCATTACAATAATTAAAATGTGGGCGTATTATTGTATTATAAATCACCATTGCGACAAGTTACATGAAATCCTTCTAAAAAACCAATTTTTTTACCTAATTTTTTACATAAGTAATTGGCATGATTATTAAAAGTTAATTGTTGGTCAATAATGACTCCTAAATATTTTATTTCCAGTACTTGTTCAATTGGTTCACCACCTATTTCTACTACTTGATCATGCGCATTAAGTTGTCTGCATTGTGCTTTTGATCCTAGGATCATATATTTTGTTTTTGCAGTATTTAATTTAAGCTTATTTACACACAGCCAGTCATACAAAATAGACAATTCTTCATTTAATATTTGAATTATTTCCTGAAAATCTCTACCAGATACTGAAATGAGCGTGTCGTCCGCGAAAAGGCTAATAAATGATCTTTTTAATCGTTTATGAATGTCATTTACATAAATAATAAATAAAAGTGGACCCAACACACTTCCTTGTGGTATTGTATTTTACCTGTATACAAATATGATGAGAGGAGCTGTAGATAGATGCCAAAGGGAGTGATAGTCAAAGGTGTAAAAATATGGAGGCCTGTCAAGTAATTCCAATAACAATGTCATTCCAGATAATGCCAGATATATAGCACATTTCCACACATATTTTTGTCTCTTTCTGTTGTAAAAACACCAAGCAAACCAGCATAATGCAGAAAAAGTTGCTAAAATTGATTAAATAAAAATATTAGTCTTTCACTATACTTATTGCAATGAAATTTCTCTTGCACGTCATCAATGATGAAAATTGTTTATCAAATGGAACAGATAAATCCTTGCTGTTAGTCATATTTGTTGCTTTTCAAGATTGAAGTGGGCAATTGGTATACGTAATGGACAGTTGCCAAATCAATTTTTTTTTCTGACATGTATAATTGAACTGTCAAACTGTTAAATAAACAAATTTAGTTTTTGATTTTTAAAATGCCTAATCATTTAAATAGCCGTGCGAAAGAATTAGTGGGGTCTCTAATAAGATATTTTGAAGACGAACGAAATAATGGTGGCCCTTTATCACCAATAAATGCAATCAGAGAGCATGTAGCAGCCGTGTTAGATTTAAATATTTTGACGGTAAGCTGAATTTCCCAGGCATTAAAGAATAACCATATTTTAAATTCTCCTTCAAAAAAATGACCACATCCCAAACCTGTAACCGAAATTTTTAATTCTGACGACATTCGTGATGTCATTTACGATATGTATAAGAAGAAACAACAAGTAAATCTTCCGAAATTACATGAAACTTTAACGCAAAGAGAAATGTTTACGGGCTGCAAAAGATCATTGTATTGTATACAGTGTTAACCAATATAGGATTTAAATGGAAGAAATGATTGCCGGCTGGGTCTTATGGAACTTCCTCATGTTGCCAATAAAAGAAGTTTTTTAAAGTACAAAAAATCTGACTCAATATAAATTTCTTTATCTGGATGAAATATGGATTTTGCAAAATGGCACAGTAAACCGCTCTTGACAAAATAACGATAAAAGGAGTGTAAAAACTACAAGAGATAATGGAAAGATTCATTATTTTTCATAGTGGTAACGGAAATGGTTTTATTGATGGGACAGAACTGGTGTTTTCATCAAATAGTAACAATCCCGACTATCATTGGGAAATGAATGAAGCAAATTTTTTGAAATGGTTCGAGAATCAATTACTTATGAATTTAACTGAGCCTTCAACGATTGTTATGCACAAAGCCCTCCTATCGTAGCACGTTACTTTATAAAACGCCCAATAATTCCTAGACAAAACCTGAAATTCAGGATTGGCTGATGACACGCAACATTCAATTTGATCAGAATATGTACAAACAAGATTTATTGAACAGTTTTCAGAAATAAACCACCTAAAATGTATAAAGTAGATCAACTTGCAGACCAATATGGCCACATAGTTATTCAGTTACCTCCTTATCATTGTACATTTAACTCAATTGAAATGATATGGGGTATTTCCAAAAATTATTATAACCGGCATATTGGTAGGGACGGCAACTCAATTCAAAATTGTTTAAGTATGTGGAGGGAAGCACTACAGACTACAGTTAGACCCCCAAATCTGGTTTAATTGTAACAGCCATACTGAAAAAATTATTCAGAAATGTTGGGACCATGAAGTTATATTTGAACGGGACAATATTTTACTTGTAATTATCGATTTTAATGATGATAGCGATAGTGTTTATTTATGATGGAATAGCTACTTCTAAAATTGTATATATAGTTTTAATGAATTAATTATTTAAAGTGTCAAAAGATGGAGTTCAAATGTAACATTATTTTTTTATAAAATGTTTCTTGAGATCCTCGAATTTTGTAGCAACGTTGCAACGTCTGCTTTCATGAGTTTATGACGTGCATTGGAAATTTCATTGCATTTACTGTAGTATCTAATGTATTTAATAAGATAAATTGTAAAACTTGCCAACAGAAATATTTAATTCCATATTATATCCATAATCAATTTTTCCCGTACTTAAATAAGCTACATGACTCATTAAAAATAGTAGAAAAACTATTGTAATTCCAGTTAATATGTATTTTGATACCTTTTCATGTAGCAGTCTAAAAAAATATCAACATGCTAATAATAATGCATTAAAAAATAATATTACATTTTACCTTATGCTCATTAGATAGCAGTTCATAAGAATTAGTGAAAATGCACAGGTATAGTCTAAAATTTCTGTAAACAGAAAATCTCTGTAATGAAATACTGCTGACCAAAACCACGCATGTACAGAAACCTATAAAAATTAAATAAATGGTTTTATAGCTCAACTGTGCGTAAAAAGGGAGCTAAGTCAATATATTATTATGGTGAAAATAAGATTATGTGTGGAACAAGTCAAATCATGATGACTCTCTTGATTGATTGTTTCCCATTTTCATCGAACTAAACTCTTATATTAGTTTGCCCATTTTTGACATAACCCCTTTAACACGGACAGCGGCAAGAATAGACTTCAAATTAGAGAATGGTTAGAGATGGCGGTCTCAGAATCGGGAGCCATGTGTGATGTGTTTCTGTTAAAATCTTAAATAAGAATGGCCATCGATTAGTGAATCTAGCCTTAATGGGATTATGCATCCTGTTAAGAAGTTTCAAATACATATTTTAATTATATTACTTGAGGGTATCCGATTGCCAAGAGCAAGACTATGATACTCTCCCGTTTTGATAGCTGGGTAAATTGTCCTGTAGGATATAGCCCAAAAAAAGGAAGAAGAAGAAGAAATGCTTCTTGATTATTTTTAAAGAACTGTACTTATGCACAAATCTTGAAAAGTTAATAAGCCTGTCTACGGGATGAATAAATAATATTATTTAACATTTCCCTTGAGCTACTACCAAGTTTTAAAAGAATATTAAATTTATTGTTCTCAAAAATAAATGAAGTAAATGTTAAATGGTTCAAGAAACTTGTCAAAGTTTTTTAAAAATATTGAATGTTATTAAGAAAGGGTCAATTTGTGGTAACTTTTTTTAAATAATTTGCAAGCAAATACTAGATAAATTTAAGAACAATGGGAACAAATTTACCAATATTTAAAGAAATGGATCTATAGCAGCTTAAAATTATCAGATTGGAATTTGTTTTATTAACTACATACATTGCTTAAAATTCTTTATGAGTAAATGATTGATGCTAAACTTTCTTATCAAAGAGTCGTCAAGGACATGTCAAACACATAATTACATAACTGCCTTTCTATTTTAATATATTCTCCAAACAAACTTATGGGATGTTCTGTTCATTCTAAATCTAAATATGCAGTTTCTTCTGATGTCAAACTCTGATGTTGGAATATATTTGTTTTAGTGGAAACTTGAATGCAAAGTTCTAGCTTTTTTCAATTTTTCTTTGATTTATTTTCACTTTAGGGATATGGGGGATGTACATATTTTTTACAATTTCGTAGGAGGAATTGAGTATATTTTCGTATTTTCAAAAATTGCAAAGTTCTATGTTTGCAAAGCTATAGATAGGATTAGAAGTTAGAATTGACTGAAAGTGAGCTTTGGTATTGTCATGAAATTCCTAAATCCGAATTAGACTATCGTCACATTGGTGTTAGAAGTGGAACTATAAATAAATAGTGGACAATAATGGCTTAAAGACTGTGTGATTTAAAAGTGAGCGACCTACGCCGGGAGTTAGAAGAACGTGAACTGGAGACGATAGGGAAGAAATCAGAGCTGGCAGACCGACTTAAAAAAGCACTAGAAAATGAAGGTTTGGACCCGGAAACGTTTCTATTTTCGGATGATGCGTCTTCTATAATTTCTTCAATTTCCGATATGAAAAACGATATGTCTGCTTTAAAAACCGATATTTCTTCTGATATTTCCTCCATTAAAAATTATATTTCCTCCTTTAGAAAGTAAAGTTTCTTCGGACATTTCTTCCTTAGATAGTAAAGTTTCTTCCTTAGAAGAAAAGGTGTCTTCTGATATGTCTTCCGTGAAAAACGAAATCTCTTCTTTAGAAACTAAAATTTCTTCTGATATGTCTTCTCTAAAAAATGAAATCTCTGTAGAGAAGAAAATAAAAGAGATGGAAAAGAAGATAGAAGAACTCGAACATTCAGACCCGACCAAGGAGGTGAAATAAAGTGTCATGAGGTGGAGTCGAAGTTAAAATTGGAAGGAGCTGTAAACTCTGCTCGTGTTAAAGCTCCAACCTTCGACGGAAAGATGTCATGGACCAACTACCTTAAACAGTTCGAGACAGCTGCGAGAGCAAACGAATGGTCTGAGAGAAAAAACAGTGAATCTGACAATCGCCCTTCGAGGAGACACTTTAGATGTCCTTCAGAATATACCCGTGGAAGAGACAGATGATTTTGAACAACTCAAAAAGAGATTAAGTATGTGATATGGCCACGAACACTTGGAGCATTTATACCAGTCACAGTTAAAGAATCGCAAACAGAAACATGACGAGAGCCTTCAAGAATTCGAATTAGATATTGCGAAGATACATGATTGAATGTTTGGCTGTTCATGCATTTGTAGATGGACTTCGTGATTATAAAATGCAAAGAACACTTCGTTTAGCACGTCACAAAACATTGGTCGATGTCTTGACCGCTGCTCTTGAATATGAAGCGGCTACGCTGGCTTCTGGTGGATAAAGTGAAGTAAGGACTGTACAAGAAGAACAGGGAAGTAAATTGGACCAATTGTTTCACATGATAAAAAACCTTCCGTGGAATCTGTGACAGATTAGGCATAAGGAAAACCAGAACCACAGCATTGCATCCACAATCTGATGGAATGGTAGAGCGAATGAATAAGACCATTGGCAAATATCTGTCAAAAGTAGTTTCAAACCATCAGCGAGATTGGGATCAGTATCTTTCGCTCTTTGCAATGGCTTATAGATCCGCTGTCAATGAATCAACAGGTCAAACACCAGCAAAGGTCCTGTTTGGGCGTGAGATGAGACTACCGTGCGACCTCGAGTTCGAATGCCGACCTGGAGAAGATGTAGCTGGCGAAGATTATGTGATCCAGTTACGAAGAAGAATGGACGGATATGCATGAATTGGTCCGCTCACATCTTCAAATCGTTAGCGACAGAATGAAGAATTGATACGATACCCAAGCCACAGAAGGATGTTTCAAGGAAAGCGACAAAGTCTGGCTCCATAACCCAAAAAGACAAAAGGGATATTCTCCAAAGTTCAAAGGTCTTGGGAAGGCCCGTACCTCATCAAGAAAAAAAATCAATGATGTCATTTACTGTATAAGTAAGATCCCGAACGGTAAACCAAAGGTAGTGCACCAAAACCGGTTGGCGCCATTTGAGGGTGACCATGAAGAGGAAGAAGAAGTAAACCAGCTCCAAAAAACACCTGACTTTGTCTTTGAAGAATTTATGGGTGTATATGGAGGTATCGGAAAAGCAAGATACGGTGTTACAACTGAGCAACAACAAAACCTACTCACGGTTCCTAAAGATTACTTGCTGGTCCATAGCACTTCCGCCAACATCTACGACGCTCGAGGTCTGGCATCTGTATTCCGGAAGAAGTTTGGTCGATTGCCAGAACTTCAAGATCAGTTACCAGCCCCTGGAAAAGCATTAAAACTTCAAGATGGATCGAGTTATCTTTTCTATTTGGTAACAAAGAACACCTTCCGAGATCGATCCACCTATCATGATATATGGGAAGCATTACTCAGTCTGAGGGAGCATGTACTGGAGTCTAATGTACAGAAACTAGTTATGCCAAAGATAGAGAGCAACCAGCTGAATTAGAGGATCATTAGAAACATGGTGGAAGTAATCTTTCAAGATACCCAAGTTGAAATACTGGTCTGCAGCCATTCTCCCAGCGTTCAGGTTATAACGAAGACTGTCCCTTGTTACTTCCATGCAACTGAAAATTGTAAAAGAGGATCCAGTTGCAAATAGAACTATTCAGTTTTAGTTCCAGGAGGAATTATTTCTTAAGGAGGGGACAATGTCATGAAATTCGTAAATCCGACTCTGTCTAAGCAAGCGGCTTCACGTCTGTGGCAGCCGACTCATGCTCGAGGCGACGGAATATTCTGGGAATTTTCGGGAGCGTCTGGAGATTTCTTGTAGCAGAGTTGGACTTGGTATAAATAGCTGACTCATCGTCGGGCAGTTTAGTTTAGTATTAAGTAATGGAATGAACAGTTAAATTGTAATAAATAAATTAGAATTGTTAGTGTCTAAGTATTACATAAATTAAATAGTATGTCATAAATAAATTGTAAATAGTGTTTTAAATAAATAAATTAGACTATCGTCACAGTATTATAGAACACAAATAAATAGTAGTTGTTAACAGGAAATAATGAATGGTCCTTGTGAAAGAATTTTGTTTAAAAATCTAAATTTTAATAGGGTAGGGGGTAGGGTTATCAGACATCAGGAAAATTCAGCACCAAACTTTGTCATTTTGTCCAGAATGAGTCGGGAATTGTAAATTGTGCGGAATTTTCAGTGAAATCATATTATTATTAGGGTATACTTAAAATCCCATATAAACAGTTCTTTTGGCTGTTGAAATTAACTTTTCTTATATTTTTTCATAATTAATTTTTTATGTAAATATTTAATATACAGATGTTGTCTTGTGTAGTTGTGTTTGTGTATGCCCTCTGTATTATAAATGTTTTATGTTTAATTTTACGAATTTGAAATTGAGATTTTTGTTTAGTTTTTGACGGTAGGTACTTTTTAAATAAAATGTTTTTATAGTAATTATTTCATAAGTTGGAGTTTAGTTTTAGATTTTTAAATAAATGTCCGAAACTTTCTTTAGGAATGTCAGGAAATTATATTTTTGAATATGGCAAACCCTAGTTAAGGGAAATAAGTTTCACAAACTCGCTAATGGTCATTTTGGTAGTCTTAAGACATGATTGTGCGAACTCATATTTCCACAACACAATGTCTTTCTAACAGAAACACCAACTAAGGGAAAATGGGTCAAATTATTAAAAATAGTATAAAAACTAATGTAATTCCAGTTAATATGTATTTTAGAACCTTGTCATGTAGCAGTCTAAAAAATATCAGAATGATAATAATGTTAAATGAAAAAAAAAACTAAATCTCAAAAACAGAAATTGTTGAAGATATGAAAATTAATATTTAGATTCTCAAATGGCATTGTAATTTTATTTCCATTATGCAGTATTTTTATCTGATGTACCTACCCATACAGTGTGGCAGAATGATTCTGACATAATGAGTTACATAGAAGCAATGAATCTATAATACAGTTGGGCATTATTTCGCAGACTGCTATTATGACTTAATAGGTACTTTACTATAATTAACCCTAAGGTTGCCAGGTTTACGAAAGCTTGACAACGACGAAAAAGAAGAAGGTCTTTTATTTGTATTTTTATAAAAATAGGTCAATTGTTTGTGAAGACCTAAAAAAGAAAAAAAAAAGGTTGTCTACTTGTATTTTTATAAAAACGGGTCCTTTTTTTCTGGAGAGATCAAAAAAAGTTCAAAAATTCATTTATTTATAAGTTTGAATTTAAAAAGCGTGGCAATTTGGTACTTAGGCAAGGCTCGTAGCAGCAAGTGAAAAAGCATGGTAAGGGGCGTCTGGCAATCTTAATTAACCCCTGAAATCTCTTCTGATCTTATCTATTAGAACAACAGTCCTAAACAAATCTAATTTATTAGCAAATTAATTTAATGAGGATCCTACAGAGCTTTCACATGGCATATTAACAAAACAAAAATGTACACAACCTTCTAAAATACTTAGTAAAAATAACTTACAATAAAAAATACATTCCATAGCCAAACCAAGGGACTATTAGGTCTCACTTTTTCTCTAAATTTTCTCATCATTTTGATATGTACGTAGGCATTTAATAAAGAAAAAATAACTGATGCTGGTTCTTGCATACCAAATAATCTGATAAAAGGCCACTAAAAATAATTAAAATTCAAATTTTTGAAAAGGAAAATTAAATCATAATACTTCAAATGTATTGTATTGCGAAATTATCTTGAGAAGTAAAAGAAACATACTTTTCCATAAAATTGTGGAGTTCTCCAATTACGATCATGAAACGCTTCTACAGTTCTCCACATACACTCATATTTACATTCATGATTGCAGTTCCACAAAGTAACCTTAAGAATAAGCGGTTGACGATCTTCTTTAAATTCCTTTCCATCTAAATGAAATTTTAAAAAATAAAATCCAAAATAACCTACAATTAATATTTACCTTCTGTACAATTTATCAAGTCACACCTCTCCACGCATCTCTGATAATAAGGGGAATGATCCCCAGCCGAAGCATAAGCTAATTTACTAAAAATCCCGGTTATTAATAAACTTAATTGAATTATTTTCAAGTACATTATTATATTTTAAAAATTTAAAATATTCAAATACTTGACATTTATTCCTCTGTCAAAACCACGTCAAAACAAGACAGTCAAAATTAAAAATTAGTTCCTTCCATTATTGCCAACCTATCAGTAAAGTAAATAACCATAGGCGTCGACTTCTGTTTATCTTCGAGCAGGGACTCGGACCGAAATGAATTTAACGGTTCCGGTTCGGTTTCTAGTAAAACTAAAAATTTTGGGTCCGGTTCAGTTTCGGTTCTTTTAAAAATATTTCGCTTTGGTTCTGATCAAATTTTTCGGTCCAAACGGTTCTTTTCGGTACAAATTTTCCATACCTTTATAATTGCTTACAAAGGACAAACAATACAAATATAAATATTTGTTTTAAATAGGCAGTATAATTTTATATAACACATTAATTATATTATTTTAGGAGTTAATTTATTTAAATAAAATAGGTAGACAAGCAGTAAAAGAAAATATAAATAATAATTTAAACATTTATTTATTTTCTTTAAAAAAAAAAACTAGAAAAATGATCCTATGAGCTGGCAAGATCAACCCTTTAGTCATACTTTACTTCTGTTGGAGTAAATAGTAAATCGCGTACACACATGCAGAAAAAGAAACAAAATGTTGCTATTCACAAGTGGAGCCATAGGTCAGTAGCATCTTTGCCACATCCTTTTCTCTCCTGCAATTGTGAATGCTATTTATTATTTACTACTAAAGAAACATGCAAAGTAGCTATTCAGCCACAAATAAAAATTATTAGTCTAAACAAAAAAAAACCAACAATATGAACAACGAAACCGAAAAAACCGTTAAAACTGTTTGAAATATTAACGGTGCCGGTTCGGTTCTAAAAATTTAATTGATAAAATAGCGTTTCGGTTCCGGTCCAATAAAAGTTTTCGGTTCCGGTCCGGTTTTCTGTTATTAACGGTACGGTCCAGCTCCCTGTCTTCGAGGGCCGTATAACTGTTATATTATATTAGAGAGATCGGGCAAGCACCAATAGGGTCCTTACGCTAATTACCAACTACCTTATTTTCGAAATACCGAATGCACGCAAACGTGATTTTGTAGAGAGTTCGGGCAGACTAAATTTATTTTAGGTTTAACGTTATATTTTCGGGTATTATCGATTTGACCATTGTTTTGAGAGCATTGACTTGACACTTTTTGTTCTTTGTTCCTATCATTTCATTTTGATTTGTTTAGATCATGGCAATCGTACCTAGTTTAGATTTATATATTTGTGTGGATTATTTTTTTAGAATTAGCAATATTGGCAGAGGCGGATGATGATATAGAGTTCATTATACTAAATAATATTTTGGAAAATGATAAAGAACCGCATGGTTTAAATAAACTTAAATAAAATAATAAATTCCCATTAAACACTCCTAACAATGATTCAGCAATATTCTGCCTCTTCCCAATGTACTTTAAAAATTAAATTTATTATTCCGCAAACTTACGGAATTAGCGTTTTGCGATAACGGTAATAGGGTAATTCTGTAAATATTTTGATATGCGCATGCGTAGATGTCAAATAATACCATACGCTATTAGCGTATCACGGTATTGGTGCTTGCCCGATCTCTCTAATAGTTCAGTGCTCTCAGTGACCGTACCCCAGTATACTAGGGCTGTTCTATGTCGCAGAATAATAAAAAAGGTCCTCACCTCCCTCCGAAGTCCAATTATGTGTTCGCGTTCTTCTAATTTGCCACTAAACAACTACGAGAAAAATATAATGTATTTTTTTCGGATTTGTTAAAAAAAAGCGCTTTCAAAAAAGGCGCTGGACTAAAAAGAGCGTGTTCCTTATTAATGGCAAAAAAATAAAACGTGTCTTTATATAAACAGCGCCATTTAAAATACGCGTGTTGAAAAAAGTTTGCTTTCTTCCATGTCACAAACGAATACATAGCTCTATTATCGTTTTTATATAAATTTATTAAAAAAAAAATTTACCTTACCTATGCGACCTGGAGCAAACGCGAAATTCCTCGCAAAAAATTTGTACATAAAATGAGAAAACTAAAAATCCAATGTACTTTGTTTAGGCACAGGTGAGGGTAATTAGCTAGTTTTTTTTATTTTCTTATTTTATGTATATTTTTTGCGAATAAACCTAAGATGACTTCAGGCCGCACAGATTAACTAGATTAGTTAATTTTATTTTAATAATTTTATGTAAAAATGTTTTGATGCTTTTTTTATTAATTTATTTTACTTCGAACTATTTCTAACTACGAGGTTTAAACACCGACGCTGGTGAGCTAGATATCTACAATTACTAGAATAGCTGAATCCCCTAATGTTCCAAGTAGAGGTCCCTACCTCTTTAACAAGCCCAACATCCCCATTGACTCGGGGCCCACGGCTTTACAGCTCCTCCGAAAAGATGACACACACACATGCTATATCTCGAACTCATTGATATACCTAATAACGCTTGCTCGCTGTGGTATGCAACTAATAAAGCGAGCAGTTTGTACGTACGCCGACTTTCATCCAACTACTAACTGCATTGTTCCTGGCTTGACTGCATATATCGATACACAATAAGTAAATCTGTTAAGGTCCGATTCCACCGTAGTGTTAAACGGAGATTAAAATGACATTGTTAATGTAAAAATGTAATTTTAAACTTCGTTTAACACAACGGTGGAATTGACCCTAAGCCATGCCGCTGCCTTTTGATTCTATTTTAACTGACGGTATTTTAAAAGCACTGTTTTGATTGACGCACTTTTGATATGCGCTCTATTACGTTCAAGCGCTCTTTTGTGTAAGGGCCGATTCCACCGTTGTGTTAAACGGAGATTAAAATGACATTGTTAATGTAAAAATGTCATTTTAAACTTCGTTTAACACAACGGTGGAATTGGTCCTAAGCGCTATAAGTTCCGCGCTATTTTTGAGAATTCTCTTTTTTAACAGCCATTTTTGTACGTTTCTCCAGGAGGGTATGATCTCCTGGGAATCTTGTCCAAAGCTTTCAGTTCTCCTCGGTTTTCTTCTGAATTTTTTTTTCTTAAAAGGAAAATTTTGACAGTCAAAGGATAAAAAATAGTTAAAACTATATTCTGCATCAATTTGCCAGCTTTGCATACGTTCTAGGCTCCAACGTCATATGGTGATATGGCTTTTTCACATATCAAAGTATGTGGGCTTTTTTCACAAACCGCACATGATTTTGTCACATTGTCACAGCAAATTTATTTTTACGATGTAGTAAAGCTTAAAGCCACAAGGTTTGGTTAAGTTTTTTTATATATTTGTGACTCTAGGCTATACAGGTTAGGTAGTTAGGGTGATTTAGAAGTATAATTGTTTAGCCATGATTGATGGCCGTAGGCCAAACTTTTTTTCAATTTTGCTCAAAGTGCCGTAAGCGATTGGCACAGCCATGGCCGTCTTTATTAGGTAAAGAAGGCCATGGCCAAACAAGTAGAGAGAGTAGAACGATAAGGTACCGTCTGCGCATCCATCACGAGTGTAGAAATTTTGTTTACAAAATGTGCAAAACGAAATTGTGCATAGTGTCCAATGAACTGGAGTGGGAATGCTTGTCAATAGACTTGATGTGCGACTCTATGGGCGAAGATAGGTTATTTTTCATCTCACTCGGGAGTATTTAAAATAGCCATTTTCTATTTCACATTGTTATTGTCTGATCCACCCGCTTGTGGATTGAACAATAACAATGTGAAACGGGGGTGGGTTGGCTCAGTGGTTAGAGTCATGACTTTGAGATCGGAAGGTCTGAGGTTCGAATCTCACCGTTGGCCGGGATTTTTTCATTTAATTTAATTATTTAAAATTAATTCTGATGCCTTGGTAGGATTCCCCACTCGACCATTCACTGTTGGGTTCTAATTAACAGTGCTGTTCCTAAAGTGGCGCTGGGAAACAGTAACTATTAGAAATGTGCAAGTAAAAGAATGGAATAATCGTGAATACTTTTCTCTTTGACAAATATATTTTTATTAATGACAAAATTACTGACAACTCTCAAACTAAGTCTAACAATAAGTACATGGGTAAGTATCAACTCTAACAATCCTCCCCCCTGAGCTTAAACCCAAATCTTTGTACAGGTTTGACTAGACGTCCACTTCTTGTCTTCAATCCTTCTTCTGTTTCTTTTCTAAGCGCTCTTTCCTTTCCTTCATAATATGAACCTTACTTTCGCAATCTGCGTCTACTTCCAATGGGTACAATTTTTGAAAAGGCCTTAATATTTCCCCATGTTGTAATTTTACCTTTGCTGCTCTGCAATTTCCATCTTTTCCTTCTATTAATTCTAGAATCCTACCCAATGGCCAATTTATTCTTTTTATATTTTCTTGTTCCACATAAACTACATCTCCAATTTTTAATGGTCTAGATAGTTTTCTCTGTTGGTGATGATGAATGAGTTGCGCTAGGTATTCATTCCTGAATCGAGATCTAATGTCGTCTCTTAATTTTTGTAAATATCGGTATCTTCGGATTATATGATTTCTGTCGATGTTGTCCAAGTCTGGTATTTCACAGGTTGTCAGGTCATAAAGAAACATTGAAGGTGTCAATGGAATTAAATCTTGATCATTTTCGGAAACATACGTCAGCGGCCGAGTATTTATTATCGCTTCGCAATCGCAAAGAACAGTTAACAGTTCTTCATAATTAACGCATGCTTTTCCCAAATTTCGCCGGAGTAATTCTTTAATCATTCTTACAATACGTTCCCAGAATCCTCCCCACCACGCAGCTGTTGGGATATTAAAAATCCATTTTATTTTTCTAATCGACGAATAATCTAAAATCTTAGTCCAGTCCATTTTCTTTAGGCAATTATTAGCACCAGTAAAATTCGTTCCATTATCTGAGTACAAAACTGAAATTCGTCCCCTTCTGGCAATGAATCTTCTAAGTGACAATAGAAAATTATCTGTGGATATAGCTGTTACCAACTCCAAGTGAATTGCTCTAAATACTGCGCATGTAAATAAAACCACCCATACTTTTGAACCATCTTTTAAATATAATGGGCCAGCTAAATCTACTCCTGATATCTCGAAAACAGCTGCATTATTTATCCTATCTTTTGGCAAAGGT